TTTTTTTTTTTTTTGTAAGTTGGGTTCAGATTCTTTTCTTTTTGTAGGTTGTTTCAGTTTTGTTGCTTTAGAGTCTTAGGTCAGTTTTGGATTTATTTTGTTGTTTTGGTTTCTTTTTCATCAGATGCTTCATAATTCTTTTTATTTATGTAGGTCAGACATTCTGGAGTTCTCTTTCTTTTTTTGTAGGAATGCTGACCTTTGGTGACTTTGACGATTGCAGATACTATATGAAGGAGGGGGGGGTTTTTTAGGTTGTTTGACTCCAAATGAACCTGAACTTATAGATAATTTTGGTTGCAATAGGTGGTTTTAATAAGGAGGGAATTTTCATAATGTATTTGTATTTTGTTTATTTTTTTTTTATTTAATTTAATAAAGTAAAATTAGATTTATGTAAATATAATTATAGTAAACTGTAATACAAATAGTAAATTCAGTGACCAAATCGTATAAATTTCGTGATAAAATCAGTGATCAAATCATGTAAATTCCATATTAATTCCGTGTAAATTCCGTATCCAAACCATATTTTTAGTGATACGGAATTGTGCATTTTTCCGTATCCTATTATGATACGTTATTTCTAAGGAAAAAAATCGTATAAAAACTTTATAAAAAACGTATCCAATTTTTTTATAGGGAATAATAATATTTCACATGATACAACATACACGTGATATGCAATTTTTGATGTGTTGATCGTTACGTAGGATTTTTGGTAGTAAAATTTTATTATATTTATTGATAAGGTCAATAATCCAGCTTATATATTTCAGAAAAAGGATAAATGTTAAATGTTACATGAAGAAATATATAATTACTACGAATTTAGTATATAATTAAAAAAAACCAAAACTGGTACAAATTTAGTATATGGTTCAAAAAAAATTCAAAAATGTGTAATTAATACAAATATAGATATAAAACTAGTATAAAACTAAGCAACTAGTACAAATTTAGCATATTACGAGTATAAAATTAAGTGATTAACACAAATTTAGTACGTGATTAAAAATACATAATTAGTATAAAACCAAGCGAATAGTACAAGTTTAGTACGTTATTAGAAAACAATTTTTTTAAATTTTATTAAGTGCGTGGCTCAAATTTAGTATATAAAATTAACAATATACATAAATTCCAAATGAATACGATATAAATTACAAACGATGACTATTTACTGGGTAAGGGATGAATCAAATTTTAATAATTTTTGTTTCCTAGGAGGTTGTATGTTAATAGTCAATTTTTTATCCGGAACTATATGATATTCTGAAATCTCATAAACTAGTTGTTTAGGTAACAATTTTTTATAAGGTAAAACTTTATAAAAAAAGACAAATGAAGGAATTTGATGAAATCTAACTAATGGAATAAATCCATGAAGAATACTTTCCATAATTGTAAATTGCTCTTTACTCCATTTTTTAACATCTTTTGGTATAGTAGAATTTTGAGCAAGACCCCATTTAATTAAACTTTCCCATATAATAATCTCATCCAAAGCAAAATCATCCCGTTTTAAAAGCATTTCTAATAAAGGTGCTTTTAAATTAATAAATTTATCGGAATTGATTAATTTTTCAGGTTTTTCACAAGCTATATCAAAACAAAAATTCCATAAATCTGTGAATTTTTCATATTGATAAACTATCTCAAGAATTTCTATAGGGTCTTTGTATAAGAAATCAGATTTATTTATAGTTAAGAAGTATTTTTGAATACATGAAATTAAAGGTTGAATATCCAATTCGTCCACTGCAATTAAAAGTTTTAACACTTCAAAACATTGTAATTTTGTTAAATTAACGTCTCCACAATAAATGAATCTAATAAAAATTGCGTATATATAATTATTAAATTTTTAATATAATATTTTTTTGAAATATATACAATATATGCCTATTTATAATTTTACCTGAGAATAATTTGAAACAGGTTGGATTCAACGTTTGGTTTTTTAAAAATAAGCATTCCGTCTTTTTTCTCAGCCCAGTTGTTTGAGAAAGCTGCGCGAAAGTATTCGGACCTAGCGCATAAGATAGCTGAATGAGCACGAAATTCTTTTTTATTCTCGCCAGCATATATAATAACATCAGATCCTTCTCTGGTTTCAAGCAATTTTTCATAATCGTTGATTGCAGCTTCCCAAAATTTATATGACATTTCTTTTGTTTTTTTGATATTTTTTTTTTAAAAAAAAAGAATCTCGGAATCCAGAAATGAAATTTACCGAAGTTGTGCGACCTGTATGGAGTCTTCTTTAAATAATAAATACTAGTAATACTGTACGACAATAACAACAATGTTTATGTAAGAAATCACTAAACAACTATAGTACACATTTGATGATCTTTTTGTAATTGTGTCGGATGTAAAAAAAACTATTTAAAATTAATTTTAATTGAAAAGATAATATGAAGAAGTTACATTATTATTATAGAATGTAGATTTGGATTTTTTTTATATACCGTACTACCCTATTATTATATTATTAAGAATTTGCCTAGATCAAGTTTAGTTCGTATTCTTACAAAATAAAATTATTTTTCTTTATCTGATTAAAACTAAGAAAAAAATGTATGTTCTTCTTACATCTAAGGTTTGTTTTTCCCTTCTCCGATAATAATCATAAACATCATTTCATTTACAGTAATTAAAAATAAAATAAAACAAAATTATCTCTTTTCAATAATTTGTAAAATTTTATAAAAAAAGTAGATTTTAATGCTAGAACAAATGGATGTTTAATTTAATTTTTTAATCACAAGACTAAACATAATCTAATTACTTGTACCTCGTTTTTCAAAAAATTAAATTTAAAATATAAGTATTGATTTAATGTGCTACTCGTTGAAAAGTATATAGAGATTGCTTATAGTAGTACAATACAATTATTTACATTATTCGTAATCGTTAAGAGTTTAAATTAAAATTTTATGCAAGCTCCGCGTATACATTACAGAAACAGGTTAAATTGCGGCTTTGTGGCCACTACACTTCTACTATATATATATTAAAAAGTAGTAGGCGTACCGCTATTTTATAGTAAATATGGTGTGGCGATGCAGTACTTCCATAGCTAGTATATAGAAAATTAGTATAAATGTAAATTTACCATAATGTATACATGTAGTAGCGATGTAACAAATTAAAGTAAATGTATGGTAATTATAAGTTCTAATAAAAGTAATTGTGTAGTAAATATAACTTTTATTTGTAGTAATTATGTAGTAAAATATAATACATTTACGGTAAACATATAGTACATTTGTGGTAAACATATATTTCATTTGTAGTAAAATATAATACATTTACGGTAAACATATATTACATTTGTAGTAAGCATATAGTACATTTACGGTAAGCATATATTACATTGTAGTAAGCATATAGTACATTTACGGTAAGCATATATTACATTTGTAGTAAGCATATAGTACATTTACGGTAAACATATAGTACATTTATGGTAAATAATACTCAATTAT